AATTAGTCATAATTATTGTAAAATAAATCATTTAATGAAACAATTATTCATTAATTTGAAACAATTGTTTTTCTTTTGAAACAATTAATTATTGTTTTGAAACGGTGTTGATTAAAGGTACATTTTTATCATTATTTTGAAAAATAACATTATAATTTTGAAAAAATTATTAAACAAAATGAAACTAACTGTAAACAAAAAAATTGGAAATAATTATTATTTCTTCTAAAAATCAAACAATAATAAATCATATTTTAAATATGATTTTTTAAATAAAAATAATTATATTGAATTATAAAATAAATAATATGTAAAAATCAAATAACAATCAAAAAAAATATGGAAAAAACATGTTTGTGTAAAAAGATAACAATTTTAATCAAAAATTTATGTAAAATATAATAAGTTAATAAAAAAAATAAGGAATAAATAAAATTTAAAGGTGTGAAACATAATAAAATAAAATTGAACTATGATTTCAAAAGATTAAAAAACAATATTGAAGCACGTTAAGTAAAAGAATGTGATCAAAGAAAAAAAATATATATAAAAGCAATAATTAAAAAAATTAAAATTTATAAATGACAAATTCAACAGAGTGTTAACACTCAATTAATATGAAACAAAGAATATTATAATTAATTATTATTTATTTATAATAATCGAGATATTTAACATATTTTTACTTTAGACTTTATTTTGTTTCAATATATTTAAATTATTATTTTGTTTATTTTTTTATTAATCTGCAAAATACAATTATGTTCAATTTTTTAAATGTACATATTTTAATTTTTTGATAGATATTTCGTATATGATAAATTTTACTTTACATAAACCTTATTTTATAACACGGACCACTAAAAATGGTCCGATTAAATATTTTTATAACTACACACCCAATTTTTATTTATATTATAACTGTATTTTTTCTTGTTATTTTTTCAAATTATTATATTTTAAAATAGTAACAAAAATGTATTTAAAAACCGTGAGCATTGTTCATAAGCCTGGAAATAGACACATATTTATTATTTCTGCACAAAAGTAATCTTTGTGGATAACTTTCACCGAGACGATTAATTGTTGCTTGTGATATTTTGTCCCATGATTCTTTCAACTTGTCGAAAATTTCCATTTTTGAATCTCCCATTGATATTATGGTGTTTTTTTCATTATTCCCCAAAGATGTTCAATGGGATTCAAATCACAAGAGTTGCCAGGCCAACCATCAAATACAGAAATACCTTTTGAATATAGAAACTTGAGAGTGTTTTTGGCTCGATGTGCTGGTGCGCCGTCTTACATGAAACGAAAGTGTTTTCTATATTTTTTAATTCAATTAAAACACCCAAATCATCAAGAATGTGGACATAACTATCTTGGTTTAAAATTTCTTCGCATAAAACCAAACTACTTTTAAAGTTGTACCCAATGGCACCAAAAACCATGACAAATGAACTATGTTTGACCGCTTTAAAATATGAAATTTTTGACAAAATATTTTTATTTATCCAAAGACGTTTTTCCCCATCTTTGCAATAACAAAACCGATTTTAATCGGAAAATACAGTTGTAATTTTAGTTTTTCTTGTTTTCCGACATTTTTAGAATTTAAAGAATTGAACAAAGATATTTCTTTGTTGACAAATATTTTTCTGTCTCTTATGTTTTTGTGTGATAAAAATTGTTCAACCTTTTGTTTTTTAAAACAAAAATTTTGTTGTTTTCTTATTCTAAAAACAGATGATTTGGATAATGGATTTTTATAATACCGACTTATTGCTTTTGCACATTTGTTGCAACTTTCTTCTGGAAATTTATTTGTTCTTTTTATTATATGTTTTTCCATTAACACCGATTTATTTGGTCTTCCTCTTTTCATGATTTGAATGTCTGGATAAATTTACATTGCGCGTAGTAAACGCGTTTTACCAGGTGATTCCATATTATTTTCACGAAACATTTTTATTATTTCTGTCGAACTTCTTATACCATTGTCCATACTTTTTTTAATATTTAACTCTTTTGATTGTTTTTTATCCAATTGAATTCTAGGAGGAAGTATTCGAAAAGAATTGGAAGACTGATTACCCAACATCAACATTTTGTTTTCAAGTATCTCCATTCTTTTTGTTAATTTTTCAATTGTAAGTTCTTGTTTAGATTTAATTTAATATCCAAAAGGCAAAGAAAATGATATTTTAGTTGAAGGTTGACCAACTAACACTTCAACACCTAGCTGATTAATGAAAAATGGACCCATAGACATTGTTTCTAATAATTTGATTTTTTTTCTTCATCGAATTGATTGTCAAACACTTGTACGAATAAATCGTCTTGAAAAATTTGAGATATGAAACATAGCGGAAGCCGATTTATATTAATTGATAATCCCTTTTCTGTCATTTCTACAACCTCGGTTACAGTAAAAGGTTCCATTTGATATTTATCAGTTATATTACGATAACAAATTGATTAAATCAATAACATTGTCTGAAATGATTTTGTGATAAAAAAGAAAATCTTTGTGGTAAATTTTCAAATTTGAATTTATTTTTGGTCATTTTAAATGTTTTAATAGAGTTTTATGTTTAAGTTGTCGTTTTATTATTTTTATTTTCCAATTTCTTCTTTTAAATTATTAAATAATTACATACTTTATTATTAGTTATTTTTTAGTATTATTTTGGCTGGAATTTTATACATTATATTGTGGTGTTTTGTTATGATTTTGATTTTTTAATTTAAAAATATACTATATTATACCGTTAAATTTGAGGATTTTTACATAAAAACAGAAACTCTGATAATAACAACAATACATCTTTTATATTTTTTTATTGTTTTTTTTAATTTAAAAAAATTAATCAGACCGTTTTCTATGATAAAAACAAGGTTTGAATTATTTAAGAAATTTAAGCTGAAACCTATGTAAGTTGAACAAAAAATAGTCGTTTTTTCATATTGTTAAGAAAGTCTCTGAGTAAAGTGACTTCCCAAGGTGTGCAAGTTAAGGTATAGTTCATTTATAATTTTTTTATTAAAAAAATAGAATCATTAATTTTTTGAAATTTAAAAAAAAAAGATTATTAGTTTAATTATTAATTATAATTTTGAAGTTATTACTAAACTATACTTTAACTTGCACACCTTGTGACGTTGCAATTTTTAACTTTCACACTTCGAATACAATTAATCAAGCAACAATTTCGGGAAAGCGACCCAATGGAAATTATCGAAGGACCAGTTCTGGACAACAGTGCACATCGATTTGTAACAATGAACTGCACCTATTGAACAGACTATTTGTTATTGTTTGCTATAAAATGGCACAGAAAAAAACATAATGTTTATTACACCTTTTCTTGTCGCTTTGAATTAGCCAACACAAGAGACATCGACATTTATTCACGTCTTGAAACAAAACAGTTTTTACATTAAACACATAGACAAACCATTACTCAATTTTTATTATTTAATTTGCTTTTTGTAGTTTATTAATTCAAGCACCAAAGGGTTGTGTTTTTTGAAACAATTTGGAAACGAATAACATTTTTAATAAAATGTTTTTCAACTAAAATTTAGTCTTGCACGCCCTTTCCCTGTAAAAAAGACTAAAAATTTTAACTTGCACACCTTGGGGAAGTCACTTTAAGTAAAAGTACTTTTATAAAATAAAAAAGAAGAAAAAACACGAAAAGGTATAAAAATAACATTGGGTCCGATTTTTGAAATAAGGTTTATTATGACGTTCTACAATCATGTAATTTTTAATATACTTTATTTTAAGTCGGAATTATTAATCATATCTATATGTCATTTTACTTAATTATTATTAAAATTGAAACCATTTACAATGAAGTTTTTGAACAAATCATAATTGAAAACAAACAAATATTTAAACAACAAACACCAAATACCAAAATAGTGTTGCTTATGAGTAATTTATCCACAAACAAATACAAATAAAATACATAGAAAGTAAACAATTCGATGTCAATTTTGGAAACGTCGACTTGTTTTCTAAGATAGTGTATTGATGATAAAAACATAATGTATAAAAGAAACAAATAATTGCCCAAAGAAATGTGTTTGTCCAAAAAGTACCAAAAATTTGTTCAAATTGTTCAGAATTTGTTTGCAGTGAGAATTTGCATGGTTTTTCTATTGTGGTGTGTAAAAAGTGAATAAAGAATGTTTGCAAACACTCATTCAATGTAAAATTGAATGAGTGTTTTTGTTATTTGAAGTGTTATTTGTCTACAATTGTAGACATTTTAGAGTAAACTGGAGCTTTAAATCCAAATCGGAAAATTGGAATTGAAAACATTTGTTTTATAAATGTTTTTCCTTTTTCTTTTTTTTTCAAGAGTCTTAAGTGGAGGACGCCCTTTATAGCGGGAGGACATCCATAAACCACAAAAAACATCCTTCGGCCTTTTTCCCGTTATTCGTCCCCATGTCAGTCCTTTCTCTTAATAATAATATTATAATTTATTTTTTTATATAATTATAATTAAAAAACTTTGAGTTATACAAAAGGTATTTTTCATTAAAAAAAATCAAAACTGTGATTCTTAAAATAGAACATATTTTAACTTATATAAAACTATTATTTTATTTTACAATTACTAATGTTTATTTTTAGTATAAAAATGGAGCTTATTATAATTATAAATTACAACCTATTATATATAGTAACTTTACTAAAAGTTTATAGAAAAACTCAAAAGTATTTGAAATGTGATTACATAATTCAATACGAGAAAGTTCATCAAACTATAATTAATAATTAGATAAAACTAAATATGTAATAAAAAAAGAGAAATGAAATTGGGGGATTAAGGAAAAACGACTGGATGATGTTTAGTTTGAACGATTTGAGTTTAGAAGGGAATGGAGACGAGTCAAGACCAAAAGCAGAACGTACAACTTCATTCAAAAGATTCAAAAATTTTTGGTATAAACACGAAAATCTCCAATATTAAAATGATTAAATGACAACACTTTGTGGAACAAAAGCACATACGAGGCTGGAAAAAGTGAGAGCGAAACGTCGAAAAGACTACGATACAGCAGAGGGTCTCTACGACTTTTTGAGAAACGCGATTGACCAAAAAGTCTCAGACGACCAATATGAGAATGTTGTGATGATGGAAGTACAGAAGATTGATACTGAGAAAAAAGAAGTGGTGGATATTATTCTGAGTATAGTGATGGGGTTTGTAGTTGACGAAGAGTCTGCAGACAAACTGGTGGACTTTGGGTTTGTCAAAAAAGTTGGGAAAATGATATTTTTGACGCCACAGATTCAAGAGAAGATCGTGAGCATCTTGACATTAGCGTGTCGAAGTGAGAAATTTTCAAAAGAAGTACTTGAAAAAAAAGTTCAAAAGAAAATCATATCGTCGTTCGACTTTCATTCGTCTGTGTTCAATTACCAATTGTGCTCCGAGTTTTGTAAAGTGTTATTGTCACACAAGAACTTACTGAACCAGTCACAAATAGACGAAGTCAGAAATTTTTATTTAAAAGCGATTTGCTCCAAATCAACTTCAGTCGTACAGGATGGCCTGTTCAATTTCTATTACTTTACAACGAATCTCCTCTTTACATTGGTCCCCACTGATGTGTTCCTGAAACGGATATCGCAGCTTACTCACCACAAGAATAAGGCTCTGTCGACGCTGGCCCTTAACTTCTCTGGCTTTTATCAGATCGAATATTGACTCTAATGTTTATAATTATGCTATTTTTAATATTCAGATTCAAACAACCCATTAAACAACAAATATAATAAATTATTATTAGAAAACACAAACGTAATAAATTATAGGAATGGGATGTTGTCTATTGCCTTCCCAATAACATCCTTAAATTTCGGGAGTTTTGGCAATGATACCTTTTTCATCGTTTTGAAGAGTTCGTCGAGATATCCCTTTGTGGAATCCTCTCCTTTTGATTTTGTGGTTTTGTCTGTCTTACTCACGCCGTTGAGTGGCGTGAATGGTGCTGTTCCGTAGTAACAATTCTCGTTCTTTGTAGGGAGTGTCTCGATTTCCTCTTTATCAAACAAAGGCGACAGCGACATGTTCCTTTCAACTATCGTCTTTGTAAACGTTTTAAGTATATTAGTATACTTAGGGTCTCGAGCACTGATTTGGAGGAATGTGTCTATCTCGTCCATCCGAAGGTTGTCGATGTCGTAGACGGTTTTATCTCTGAACTCGACCTTCTTTCTATATATCTCGCGTTCATCCTCAAGACCGTCCCAATCCAATTTCCCACAGAAATTCTCGAAAAAGATATAAAAAGCGGAAATTGTGTCGTCGCCTTGTGTCGGGGCGTTTCCGAGGTGGACATTTGGCGCGGCGTATCTTGGTGTTCCTCGAAACCCGCACCCCTTTGTTCTTCTAGTGTTGCCATAGACATCAGTGATAGTCTCTGCCAGTCCAAAATCAATCAACACGATATCACTTGAGTCTTTGATCACGAAATTTGCTGGTTTGATGTCGCCATGAACGATCCCTTCGTTGTGAATCAATTGGAGGATCTTCATGATTCGTAGAAAAACTCTGTAAGTTGATCCGACAGTAAGACGGTGTGTTGGAAGTTTTCTTGTGAATGTTGATAAGTCAATTCCTTGAAGGTCCATCACTATATAATACCCTAATCGACTGTCACCATAATCGATCATATTAATGACACCGGCGGCGTGGTTGAACCTTTCTAAAATAGACACTTCAGCTTCACCATTTGAAGGGGAATGAAAGATTTTGATGGCCGCTGTTTTGGTCGGGTCTAACTTGTTTTGACAAATATAGACGTGACCAAAACTGCCGGAATTTATTGGAGAAGTTAGAACCCAGTCGTTGTACTCACTGCCTAGAATAATTTCTGGCTCAATTTGTGAGCTGAGGGACGACGAGTTAGAAGGATACATCTAGTGCATACGAGTTCACTAACTATCTGTTGATTCAATATTCAAAATTTTATAGTTTTATTATAATTGTTATATAGTTTCGAATGATGTGGATGTGGGTGAATTGTGGTGGATTAGAAGCAGACCATTTTTTCACAGAATTACAAAAATAGAAATGGAAACAAATACTATAAATTAATTCAGAATTATTAATTTACTAAATTAATGATTAAATTAAAAGTATTTATCTGAAAAAAACAAAAAAACTTGTAAAAAGTTATTTGTTTTCGTTAATTGTTATTAATTATATATTAATGTTATATTTTTACTACTTTTTAACTATTAAAATGTATTAATTATGGTTTCAATTACTAACATAAAAAAATATGTTAATTTTTTACAAATTTATACATTATAATTTATTAATTTAAAAAATATAAGATGAAAAAAATATGCTTTTGATGTATATTTTTTTAATAAAATATAAATTAAATAATTATTTGTTAAATTAATAAACAAAAATCAAAAAAATAGCAAATATTTAAAAAAAATAATAAATTTTGTTTGTTTAATTATTAATATATTTAATTATTAATATATTTAAAATATTTAATTAACAAAAAAAGATTAAAAATATAATAATTAAACTATATCACAATAATTAAACATTTTGATTTATAAATAATTTAATTTTAAAAAACTTTGACGTTTTAAACTTTTTTAAATTTTAATAGTTATCAAAATTTTTTTTATAGTTTGTAAATAATTGTTCAAACCCAAAAAAATTTGAAAAACTTTCTGACATAAACAACTTAACATTTATCTAAGTTATTATAAAAATATGGTGACATTCATTTGAAATTAATGAAAACATACAATTAAATTTATTTCATTTGTAATCGTTATTTAAAGTTAATTAATTAGTGTTATGTTTTCATTTTTTGTCAAAGATAATTCGAACAATTCAATAACCGAATTATCATTAGTGTTTAATCATTATTTATAAGTTATACCATTTAGTGTCTTATTAAAAATAATAATTTGAACAAATGAATTAAAAAAGAGTACAAGCATTTTATAACGAAGTTGATTCTTCAGACACAGTTGTTAATATTTTTGACAAGACTCTGTCTCCAGCCTTAAGAGTCACACATTTTTTGTCCGTGACGAGTTGTGTGAGGTAGTTACACACTTTTGATCCAATATTAATGACAGTGTTTCTATCTGTGATAAAATTAGAGCCCAACAATAAACCAGTAATATATTCTATTCTCTGGTTGTTCTTTGCTGGCTTTGAAAGTCTTGAAGAGATGTAATAACCCTCTTCCAAACACAAATCAAGTAATAAATTGTTGGTAAACACAAATACATTTCTATTGAATATTCTAAGTATCTTTACTCGATGTGCTTCATTCTTGTACATTGCATCTAGTTCGTTTTTGAATCTATCTTTCACAAACTCATCGATATTGACAACATCTGTTCCTCTCTTTATTGACACTATTTTTGGTATCTGAGCAGTCACCTTTGATAGTTTAGGAGGGCGCTCTATGGTCACTTCGAATGATTGTGAGAGAAGACAAATGAAAACTGCTTGTTGAACAGCTTCTAACGTTCTTTTGTCTCTTGAACATTGTGTCTTGAAAGGCAAATTCTTTTTAGAAGCTGAGTAAGTCTCCATTTGTTGTTTTTGAAAACTAGATCAGTGCAAAGATTAAATAAGAAATCACATTCTATTTTTCTTATTTGGACAATTATCCTTTTTGATTTCTTGGGCAAAACAGATAAAATTAATATGATATTTATGTAAAATATTATCGAAAAAAAGGGTTTTAATTGTGGAACATTCAATTTTTTCTGATTGGCTGATTCGTCATAAAATCTAAAGTTCACGGCGATATTTTCTTGGTCAAAAAATGGTAATTATGATGTTGACTAAAAAGGTTTTTTCATAAGTGTAATTAGTTTCTATTTGTATTTTATTCTCGAAAAATACCTGGCAAATACCCAAATTGTTTTAAAAATATTCTCGTATGATTTAACTTTTTTTATTCTCAAAAATGATGTAACAGTTTGTGATGCAATTAATAGTCGAACTATATCAACAAATTGACCATTTGGAAAGATTGGCTTTAAATAATGCACATTTGGGAATTACTTAGATGGACTCAAAACCAAATACAATCATTGTTTTATAATTACTCAAATATATCGAACAAACTATTTCTTTATCAAAATTGGTGTATTTTATGATGATAATTTCGGGATGAATAAGCGGACATTTATTGCCGACTTTTTTTGTCACACATTTTGATTTGAGTTGGGGATTTAGAATCAAAAATACTTTTTGCTTTAAATTCCGTAACAACTAACTTTACTCATTTTCCATTAAAAAACCCCATCAATTTTGCCTAAAATAATGAAATTGTATTTACAAACCCTATTTTTTTATAAAAAATAAAATTTGAACGAATAAAATATGATAATTTGAATAAAAGTATCGACATGAAAAAATGTACAGTACTGAATTGAAAGACCAAACCCCATTATATTTGAACTTAAGTGCAGAATGAATTTTCTTTGTTTTATTTTTTAAAAAATCGAAAGACTATTTTATTTTTTAAAAACAACACTATTTTTGGATATTGTGAATAAAAACGAAAAACAAGTCTTCTTATATTCCACTAAATTGACTTTATTAAGACGAACACTCCACATGTTTTTTGTTCCAAACCATTGTTTAATTATTGATTTGAGATATAAACTTATTTTAACACGTATCACTGATAATTATCCTTTTGTTGTCTTTAGCTGATAATTTTAATGTCTATTTTTCGAATTGAAGAAATTAATGTATGTATAATATAAATAGACATTATTTGTTTGAACATAGCAACTCAAAACAAATGTTAAAGTGTTTTGAAAAAATAAGTAAAAGACTGACTCTACTATTTTGTTAATTTGTTATACTTTGTAATTACTATAACTAAAAAATATTTATAGTTAAAATTTTGATTCAATAAACATAATATCATAAATGTATTTCTTTTTCTTTGTGTTTAACACGTTCAAAACAGAAACGTAATAATAATAAGTTTTTATTTTTTTCTTTTACCTAAACCCTTTTTTTGCCTTCATACACAAAACAAATTTTTGAATTTTTTTTTATCAACTCAAATTTGAAGTTTATATTTTATAGTCACACAAATAAACATGAATGAGTTTATTTGTGTTGAACAAGAACAATGCATTAAGAAGAAAAATGGGGTCTAATGATGGTTTAATATATTTGGTTGTTTTTTTATAAAAAGTATATTGTCATTTGATTATAACAATATTGGTGTTTATATTGTCGTTATATTTGTTAATGTGACTATTTGACATTGTTTGTCATAAAATGGATTGACGATGTAGCGTTTTTTGTTTTAATGTTGTAACACAATAAAGCGATATGAAATTTCGTCCAAAAAGATTATTTTTGATCAATCTTAAGTAATTGAGTTCTCATTTGTTAATTATTTTAAGTAAAATAAAACTGACTATTGGCCGGTTTGGGTTAGAAAGGGGTTTGGAATAAAAATAATAAAAATGATTTGGACAATTTCCTTTTTACTTATTTTTCTTCTTAAAAAAAAGTTTTGGGTTGTGAAAGTGTTAAATCTAAAATAATATATTTTAAACTATCATTTATACTAAAACTAAATATAAAAATTATAATATAAATTATAATATAAATTATAATAATGAATTATAGTTTATTTGATTGTTGTTTTTAAATAAATAAAAATCACATTATTGATTAAAAATCATACAATTCTGACGTTTTTGTGATTCATAACATTTCCCGATATGTTCAGCAATTAACGTTCACCGATCCCCTAACAGAAGTTAAGAATATATATTTAAAAAAACTATAATTATACTATTAAATAACAATTACATAGTAAAAATATCAAATCTCGGCATTTTACACTATTATGAACTCTTTTGTGCATATCTCGTTTGTTGTCAATTTGAATTATTAAAAACAAACTCATTTAATAATTGAAAACTAAATTCTTTGACATTTTATTAATGAGTATAATATATTTTAATACTTACTATAATATTACTTTACAGTTTCGAAATTCTTCTTTTTTTCATTTGTTTTTTTTCACCTGTTTTTTTCGGTGTTTTATTCGAAACATCCAATCACTTCAATTTTCACCTCTTTATATTTACAAAATATTTTTTTTATTATTTTCTTTCACCAACTCGAAAAAATGATAATACAAAACGGCATTTTTATCTCTAACAAACATTTTTAAACCATTTTTAACTCCAAATGCTGCAATTGCCGAATTGTATTAACTTTGTGGTATTATATCCCCTAAAAAACTACATATATATAGTAAA